TGGATATATATTTATTAATATTATGGAGGAGGATTAATATCATTGAAATTAAGTATTATTAAATGCTAGTATGAATGCGCTGGATGCATAGAAAATTATCATACATTTTGTTTATAATGGAAACTGCATTAATATTCATTTAATTAGAAATTGATCACGAATTCTGATGGATGGACTATTGGAACATCAGTTTATTATACATACTGGTATTGTGGTAATTGCTAATTTTTAAAATTCAATTCAATAAAATATTCTACTCATTTACCTCCTCATTAAGATGTATTAATTAGGTTTTTTAAACGTGGGAATCAAATCATAATAGTAGACTATTTATATGGTAAATAAACAATAAATTATGGGGATTAATAAATAGAAATATTAATTAGAAATCATAATGATCTTATATTATATCTGGATATTAAAACCTAACCAGCTACAAATAATGGTTATATTAGAGATTTTGAAGTATTTTACTCAGAAATAAAGTTTAATAAATTGAATGAAGGTTGTTTAGAGTAACTAGATGATAAATGTTTGATTTGCCAAAATGGTTGGATATTAGATGAATTATTAGAAAAGTGTCATCCAATTTGTGGTGATGGAATTATTCAAGGTTAAGAAGAATGTGATCATACTAATTTAATATCTAATCATTCTTGTTATTAATGCAAATATTCATATATACAATTTTGTTAAATTTCTTAATTTGGAATTTGTCTATAATGTTAAGATGGATTTGAATTTTCTGTAAATAGGTAATATTGCATACCTAGATGTGATGATAGTATCATTTAAGTATTCGAAAAATGCAATGATTGTGATATAAAATGTTAAGTTTGCAGAGATTAAAAATGTTAGTTGTGTGAAATTGGATGGATACTTATAGATAATACATGTTAATCTTTTTGTGGAGATGGAGTAATTGCTTTAAATTCTATTGAATAATGTGATGATGGAAATTAGATTGAAAATGATGGATGTTTTGACTGCCAGATTGAGTGCATTCCTAATTGCCTTTCATGCTTCAATACTGAAGTTTGTTTTATGTGTTAAGAGCATTTTCAAATAAAAGATTAATCATGTTTACCAATCTGTGGTGATGGCTTTATAATTATTGGATATGAGTAATGCGATGATGGAAATATTGAACCATATGATGGATGCAATTAATGTTAATATGATTGTTCATAAGGATGTCTTGATTGTGAAAATGAACAAATTTGTAGATTATGTCAAAGTTAATACATTTTAAATAATGAAACAGCTAAATGTTAAGAGATCAAATCTTTAGACGATTTGAATAAAGATATAAATAACTATAAAGATTAAATTGAAAATACTTTTAATGTTAGGTGCAGTAACAATTACATTTTAATAAATAATTAATGTGTTAATTAATGTGGAAATGGATGGCTTGATTTAGAATATGAACAATGTGATGATGGAAACTTAATTGGAGGAGATGGATGTACATTTTATTGTTTTGAAGAAGATTCTTATTAATGTCAAAATACAGAAGGTAGTATGAGTCTGTGTTCTTACATTTTAGGTCCTAAATTTATGCTAAATCGTCTATCGAGTGAAAAAAATCAAACTTAAGTAATTGAATTAAGATTTACATAAAAAATCAAATTATTAACTAATTTAAGCTTTGAAGAATTTGCAGCAGTCTCACTTATTCCAGATACTCATGCAGCTATTAATATTAAGCCAATAGTAAATCTATCAACCATATTTGACTCTCCAATTTATTAAATTTTTGTTGAATTCATAGAACCTGTCAAGGATCCTGTTCTATAAATCGATATTGCTTAATTTATTATTAAAAATGAACAAGATTTAGATTTAATTAACAATTAGTCGCGAATCAGTCTTGGTAACCCTTTTGTGTTATCTGAGACAACTCAAAAATAAGTAACATAAATCCTACTTCTTAATGATGGAATGATTTATTCCATGATTAGTATTTCAGGGTTATCGTTGCTAGCTGGTAATACCATAATGCTATTTAATTTATTAGATCTATTATAATCTCTATCCTATATTAGATTTATGTAATATTCATTTCCACCTCATTTAATATAATTTCTGGACGCCTTTACAAAAATATCATTAAAACCAATATTGGATTATTTTAGAATTGATGAAATATTAAGTTCCTTAAATGGGGGAAGTTTACCATTTTAAAGTAAAAAATCTTCCAACAAGTATTCAAATTAATTAAATTAATTAAACTAATTTTACTTGCTGAACGCTAAAAGTTGTTATTTCTCCATAATTGTTTCATTAATAACATATATAATTTGTAATTTAATCACATCTCACAAGTTTGAAATCTTACATAAAAATTTATTCTAAAGATACTAAAATAATTATAGATATTTGCTGGTTGATGGGTTTTTTACAAAAAATCTTCAGAAATTTTGCAATAAATTTAAATAATAATACTTTTCTTTTGGGATATTTAAAGTTTATATAGCAATACTTCATTAGCTATTATTTAGTGCTTTTTTATAATTTCCAGATTACAGCTTCAATTCACCTCTTATGGTTGTTAATAGTATAAATGCAATTATTGGATTAATGGTAATAATATATATTGGTTTATAATTACTTTCTATTACATCATCTAAGATAAAAGATAAAAATAAATGGTTATATTTTTATTAAGACTAAAAACTTTAATTTTGGGCTGCTAATTTTAGACCCTTTTAAATCTACAGAATAATGTTTTATATATTTACGATTGTTGTAGCTCTAAACTATCCATAGGTATAATCAATTTTACTTTCAATGTCCTCGTTTTTTTATTTAAGTTATATATTAAAATTTAAACCTATTTAGTCTAACTATGAATATGCCAAGCTAATGTCAAGAGAATTTTTCTTTATTCTAATAACAGGATCATTTTTAATTTATAGTTTTGAATTTGATGAAAATTAACTGTTACTTTATGGATGGATTCATATTACCCTTTTCACTCTAATGTTAATATCAAATTTAATCATTGATTTAATTGAGAACATTGATAAAGCATTGTAAAATTATAAGAAAAAGAAAAATTTAGAAAAAATACAAGAAATAAAAACTTATCACTACAATTCTCTTCAAAAATTTATTGAAGTTGCAGATTTAAAAAAAAAATGACTATCTAATATAAAAAATGCAGTTTTATTGTAATATTTTTGATATGCCTAAACAATTTTTACTTCTATAGAAAATCTTATATCTTATTAATAATACTTGAATTTAGGTAAACTATCAAATCATTCTTTTTACCAATAAACTTTCATTCTAAATCGCTTCTATTCTTTTCTTTCAAGTTTATCTCTTGTCATTCTAATCATATTTTAACACTTTTTCAATATTTAAAAAAATTATTTTCCTAATAAGCAAATTGTGAAAATAAATAATCAACCATCAACCCAAAGGATTGCATTTAGTCATCCTTAAAAACCATTTCGGTTCCCAAAGATTTATGCTATTTTAATTAATTATATTATTCTTGATAGATTCATTTATTCCTTAATATTAAGTTATATATAATCAATCTTAGAAATCTATCTTATTATACATTATTAAAATATTAAGTTATATTTTTAAATTAAATTAAATTAATCATAAAAAATAAAATATTTTCTGAGTGATTACTTTTCTAATTTTAAACATTAAGTCGTGCATATTAATTGGTCAACTCAAAATCTTGAAAAATACCTTGGCTTTTGATACAGTAATTGTGTTATCTAAGAATTATTTCTTACAAAAAAGATTTTACTTAGATTGCCCAGAGCACCTTTTTTTTTAATTTTATTACTATTAGTCCCAAATATTTTAAGGTAATATATACATTATTCTAGCTACCTCCCTATTGATTATTTTAGCCTTCCTTAATACGCTTAATCCTCTGTTCTCTTCATTCAAATATTATTTCTAATCACCTTTCTTTATTATAGTTTTCACTGGTCTAGTAATTTCATAAAACATTTCTGAAAAAGATTTAAATGCAGAGATCTTCAATCATTAAGAAATTTTCAAATTTGCTAAAATTTAAATCATTCAATATTTATTTGAAAAAGGAATCCCCTTTATATTCTAATGTCTTTTTTCAAATTCTATGTTGTTACAACAACAGAAAAAATAGAAAGTGGGTGTCGATAGATTTAGACAGAAGCACATCTAGGAAAGATATACAATGAAGAATAAGATGCGAATGTAAAGTATTAAAGGGAGATGAATCTGGAAAGCATGTCTAAAATGGTCCTTAGTGAAATGGAGTATGACAAAAAGAAAGGAACGATATTAAGTTTACACTGAAAACCGAAGATATGGGGAATGGGAACTTTAGATTAGATTTGTATACGATGATCTATAATTGAAAGAAATATTGAAGGACCAGGCAGATCCTTACATAAGTGAGTTATAGGCAAAATAACTGGAATTCTAGGTATAGGGGCATGGTTGAATTTAACTACTTTTGTTAGAAGAGGTAAATAAGCCAGAGTTAAAATTAAGAGTTAGATTAAGAAAGATATGTTGACATTGCATTTTATGAAAACAACAATTGACTTAGAGTAGACTTAAAATTTACCTAAAAGAGAGATAAGTTAGCTGTAAAGCCAACTCTATAAATACTGGAATACAACAATACCTCTAGCATGGTAGTACGCAGCTAAAAAAGTGGAGATGGTGAAAAAATATAAGGAGAAAATAAAAAAAAATTAAAACAATTTTTCAATAATGTGTATGGAATAACTGAAGAAAATTATCCAAAGAGATTATTAAATAGGGGGAGTAACTTCAAGGTACAGGATGCGTTCTTCTTGATTTCTATAGCATAACAATGTATAATAAAAGTAATGGTAGCCCAAAGGATTTCAATCTAAAAATTAGTAGTGTGGAAATTTAGGGTAAGATAGGATTACTAGGGTAAGGTCTTATTAATAAGGACATAATAAATCCAAGATTTAGAATTATTCATGAAGGATATGGATTTATATCCCTTAAACACATGTATGAAAAAGACCATGCTATGATGATTTATATATAGACATAGATCATCATAGTTTCTATTAGTTGTTTAAGGCAAAGTATAGGAATAAAGAAATGAAAATGATTGCCTTAGATAAAGACATGATTGATTATGCAGGTCGAGAGAGAGCTTGAGTTTACAAACTAGAGAAACAATCGAAAGACTATGCCGAATGGTGTTGAAAGGATAAGATCTTGATAAATCGAGTTATTCATTATACATTAGACATTGAAGAATTATGACTTTAGAAAGTTAACTTATTAAGATGTTTTAAATTAGAATTACAATTCTTCACTTGTTGTTCAAAATAACTATTCCCAAGATTTTGACCTCAAACACTTTTGATATTGGATTATGCGGATTTATATAAGTGATTGCTCGGGCATTACAAAAACACTTTACAAAGTTGATTAAAATTATTAATAGAATTTAACACCATCAATTATTTTATTATATTAAAATAGGTAGATTATTTTGAAGAAAGGAACTCTATTCAGATTAAGTGTCTAATGCAATATAACTGGAATGATTTATTTTGCAATAATTTATCGTTGGATCAAATTAAAATTAAATAGTTAAGGTAATTAGAAAGGCATAAAATAATAGGAACAATTATACTAATTTTGAATTTTAAAATATCCTTAATCAAATGAAAGAAGAATAACGTTAACATTTCTTAAAATGGATGATTTAGAAAGGAAAGAGCTAAAGGATTGTATATATTTATTATTTGTAAAATAGTAAATTTGTTTGATTAATATTATATTAATATTTATACTAATGAAAGTTTAAGATGTTTCTGAGAAATAAGCAAAACCAATAAATTCAAGATTAATGAATGGACCATTATAAGATCGATATTATACTGATATCATATCCTAACTACTATTTTATAGCATCATTCATCTTTATGTAGTAAGTTATTATTGATAATAATTTAGATATTTTGCTATAGCAGGATACTCTTTAGGTAAAAATAATACTAATAGCTTATGATTCTAATGGCATTGTTCATTTGTTAAATTTTGGGAACCTATGTGATTTATTTACCAGATTATCCATTGTTATTCTGTCCTAATCTACACTCCTAATTATTATATTGTAAATTCGGAGGTCAAATCATTTTAAATTATTGTAATTTTTAAATTCAAAATTATTCCTTAATTATGAAGATATCTATTTCTGTACAAATGGAAATTTTAATAACTTCTTTCTAATGCTTTTTCTAATTTTTTATGACTGAACGAATTTTTACTAATTTTATTTAAGATATTATTAATTAGTTATGAGTAAGTTTGAGAATTTGCACCTGTAATAGCTTTAAACCAACAGAATAAAATGTGTTTTATATCTTCATTAGAAGAATAAATTTAAAACTGGCTTATAAGAATAAAATGGTTTGATAAATAATTGTATGTAATAAAGGTATATAACAAATTTAGTCATCTTTTTGGATAACTTTAAGTAATGCTAGCAAATATCTAAAGTTTTCGCCATATCAATTTTACCTATATCTAATTTTCCAAATTGAAGTTGAGAATTAAAAACAAAATTATATGAAAATTTTTTTTCATTGCTGAACTAAAACTTATCTTAAGGCGTATTTGTTATTAAAACACTTAGCTGGAATTTCTCGAGGCGCTCCATTTTGTGATGATAAGTTAATCAAAGCAGTCTTTAATTATTCAAAAACTGCGTAAATTGTTACATCCTTATCTCCATACAAACAATTATAATTATTTCCTTGGTCATTCTTTACTACTAAATATTTTTTGAAGAGTTTTTAATAATAATTTTAAGGGCTCTTAGTAAATAATTGTAAAAAAAATAAATTTGATAGGAGAAGGATTTGGAGGCTATTCAGAATTTTCAGAAATCCTTTTCATTGTTAATTAGATTTATAATTATTTATTGGCAACTAAAATCATAAATAAGATCCAAAATGGTTCAAAATTGAACTTTGTTGAACCTATATTAAATTTATTTGAATCAGAATCATATGCGATACTATTTGTTAATTAAGTTTCTAAAGCTAATGATGTTTAAATATCATAAATATCTTCGGTTAAATTGCATGTTGAATTTAAATTGCTATATTATTTTTTGTTCCTGTTATTTTTAAATATACCTGAAATCTCCTTTATGTAAGATACATATTTCTCGATTGTCTAGTTCATAACTTGATAGGATGTAACCACTTGGTATAGTTAAGTAATTTGTTCTTTTCAGTTTATTTTGAGAGATAATTGTATATGGTTTCAATTATGGTTAATAAATTAACCGATCATCCATCCCTTACTTCAAAGAATGCATTACTTAATAATTCAACTACAAAGCTAAATGTGAAGGTTCCTCATAAACTTATATTAGCTGAATTTTATATCATTAGTGGTTTAATAACATTTTCCATGTTAAAACTGCTATTCCCTTTTAAGTAAATACCTCTATAAGAGTCTTATTAAAAAAAACTACAAAAAAGTGGATTAAAATAAATTTTTTCTCCTTTTGAGTTGCAGTTTTTTAATGATTCTAGAATTTACGAAAATACATCTTTTATTTTATCCTTATACTCCTGCTCCTTAAGTTATATGTTTGATAGAAATTTTGATTGATCAATTATTAATTTTCTATCTCAACTATTTTTTGATACTGTAAAATGCACCCATGCATTTTAATGAAATTCATTATACATTAAATCTACTAAATTTTAATAATTTTAAAATCTATTAATTCTAAATACAATAAACCATTCAAACAATATAAGTAAGCCTTTTGATCTTATATTGTATAAATATTTTGAAAAATAATGATTTTCAATTTATAACCACAAATAAATTTTTATTCTTTGTAGGCATAATCGCATTAATACATTTATAAATCATCATTCAGATTAATTTAATAATGAGTTTCCATTTAATATTTTAAAATTGTTTAGCATTAACTCTTATTAAAGTATATTGTTTCAGGATATAACTATTAAAGAAAATGGATAAAGAGTCAAAATAGAATAAATTTAGAAATTAGTAAGGAGAATCTTAACATAATCAACTCTTTTAAATAAAAAGATTACACTATTCCTTATATGATAACGTATTTTATTTTGCCTATTATCCAATCATATTAATCATAGCATTATCTTTTATTGCTTTTTAATATCTATAAGACTTAGTTTTCCAAGTGATGTTACATAACACAAAAAAGCTGTATCACAAATGTGTAAATTTTCTATTATTACTATATTCTATGCAGCATTCCTATAATCAAACTCTAAATATAATAACTAATTTAGAATAGAAAAACAATTAACTTTTTTTATTTGAAAGATATTGATATACCTTATTTTAAACATACTTCAGGTTTAAATTTTCAATTGTAATTGTTAATAAGGTTCTCTTAACATCAATTGTAATTTCTCAATCAACCAAGACGTAGAAATAAATTAAACTTAAGCAGTACCCAATTTCACAATTTTTTATAATCGCAATCCCATTGCCCCTTAAGTTTAATTATAGAATGATGCAATTATGTTATTAAATATATAATTTTTTAAGTCAAATTTTTTAGGTTGTTATTTGTAAAGCTCCTCCTTTAATGTCAATTCTAAATAAATTCTTGAGATAAATGATTAATTCTGGTTAATTAAAACTTTAAATTTATATTTAATTATATTTTCCCCATAATTAATTATTTAGATAATTATGGTTCGATATTTAAAAATCCTCAATTGATATTTCATATTAATGAAAAAAATTTTCTTAGTAAATGACATTCTCTAAATTTTTATCTTAAGTTTCTTTTAGTAGATTTCAATTAAAGAAGAATAAATCCCTAAATTTATTTTAAACAGAATATTTCCTATAAAGGTCACATCTTTATTTGATATATATTCAATTTGATTAAAATTGATCGAAGGATTATATAGAAATTATAGATTTATCTATGGTGAATTTATTTATAATTCTAACTTATTGTAAAACTATTTTAGAGAAACCTTGATAGATATGAGAGTATTCCATTATTCATAAATGATATTTTCAATTCTTATTGTAGTAAAAATAATTAAAGAAAAAAACCTGAAATTATAAGTTTAACATGTAATTATAACAAGATATAACTAATTTTAAGTATGTTAACTTCAAATATAAAAATAGATAATGTTAATCATTTCATTAATCTCTTAATTTTATTCTATATATTTCTTCTGTCTAATTTTATTTGTTTCTCAATAATATTCTAAATTTCTTAAATTATAAAAATACTTCAAAATGTATTCTTTAGAATTAAAAAGTTATCAATAACAATTTAACAATTCAAAGAACTTGATTGTAACTTTATAAAAATTTATACATTATAATTTTTAACAAATCAAAATTAATCAATTTTTACACTTGAATTTGAATCTTAATATAAAAACTTGAGATTTAAAACTGAGAGTTTTAAATATAAATATTATTTATCATTATATCAGCAACATCATTAGAATCCAAATTTTGGGTAAAGATTATTTTTAAATTAATCAATTGTTTGATTATCAATTATTATTTTCTTATAAAGATTTGAGTAATAGAGCAAAGTAGAATTTGTAAAATTACAATTTAATAATTGCAAATTTGTTATTTTAATAACACTTGTTAAATTAGTATTTGTTACCCAAAAACTTATAGAATTTTCAATGTTTGCAACATAAATAAAACTATTTTGTAAAATATAATTTAAATAATTATCACCTTAATTAATATCAAATTGGTTCTAATTGATTAGAATAAAAGCTTGTATCCAAAATATTGAAATATATTAGCTATTTTCTGTTTTTAAATACTAATTCTAATTTAATTAGAATAAGAAACACCACTTATTTAATTACAATTTGAATCAAAGTATTGAAACTAGAACTTATATAACAAAACAATAAGTTATAGATTTCCCTCAAATTTCAACCACTAATTCAGAAGACATTATTAGGTTTATAATAAGCTTTATATATCAATTTTATTTAGATACAAGTAGGCATTTTTTGATTATTTTTAATGATATTTTATAAGTATTCCAAATAACCATAATATTGAAAATCTAAATGAATAAAAACAAAATAAAATATATTCTAAATGGCTATTGCAATTTTATTAAAAAAATGTAGTTAATTTTTAATTTTGGATTAATTGTAAATGTTGGTAATGCAAATTTTTGGAGGTATTTAAATGTGTATATTGAATTGTCTGAAGTTATTAAAAAATAGATTTATCTTCTTTAAAACTATATTTATATTAATACTTTTATTTCTTCAGTTAGTTTTTCTTCACATGCTTAACTTAACGAAGAGCAATTGTTAAATACAATTATTATGGTATATAGAATTCTAAATCCATTTTGATAGTGTTATAGTATACTCTAATAATTAATAAAGGTTTTAAGTTGACGTTTATAAGTTGTTGCCACCATTTTGTCTAAAGTACATTATAAATTAAATATATATATAAATTACTTAATTAATAAAAAATTACAATACTTGAAATAAACCAAGCTCTCTGATAATTTGAAAATTATAGATCATAATATTGAAAAAAGACATATAATTACGGAACTTTTAAATGAATGGATCTATTAGATAATATAGTAAAGGATTAAAAACCCTTTAGTGTAAATTCAATCAAAAATTTCAGAGAAACTTGCAAATGTTATTTAATATTTACATAATAATGTTGGAGCTCATTGAGATATAAAGTTAGAAAATATATTAATTGATGAAGACTTCAATTAAAAACTATTTGATTTAAGATTAGCTGAAATTATGTATTAGAATTTTGTTTAAAAATGTTAAGGAAAAACAGAAAGAAGAATTTAAACAGATATAAGAGTTAGATTAAAATATAAATGAGATAAGTACCATCATGTTTTTAAATCAATCAGAATGATTGATGAATATTTTATAAAAATATATTTAATTATAATGTAAATACAAAATCAAATTGGAGAAATGTCTGTTTAAACAGATCACATTTATCAATGTCTAACTGAAGAAGGAAACATTTGCACAATTAAAATATATAAGGAAGGGTCTCCTAGAAAATTGATAGAGAAAGAGATAAAAATTCAACAATCCATCAGTCATCTAAATATTAAGAAAATTGTGGTTAATATAAATGGTTTATTACAGAACTCATGAATTAAGATCTTTATTCATAAATCTCGAAATGTGGTACTGTCTAATTGAACACCGTAAAATAAATTCTATTATAATTAAGTAATGGATTATTTTACTTAAATTAACTTGGTTATGTTATAGAGACATCAAGTTAGAAAATGTAATTATGATTAAAGATCCTAATAAAAAATTGATTGACTTTGACCTATCCAATAACAAGACGTTGCAGATTCTCTACATATACGGCACCTGATTTACATTTAGAAGACAAACTCATTCAAAATATGTTGGATCCTAATCATAAATCAACTCTCTTTAGGTTATTCAACTAAATAAATGTTGAGAAATTAAAATCTAGTTAGGAAAATGGCAGCATGTGAAACTATGAGAGGAGCATCTATGGTATGTTTATTAAATGAGTCTTTTATCATAAAGTAAGAACTATATATAAGAAAACACATCAGCTCATTCATAAAAAAAGATCAAGTTAAAAATCACTCCAAATAAAGTTGTAATTTCCTTTAAGAGACCAATTTAAGTTAGTGGAAATAAAAAATCTACACATTTGGGCTCTTAAGAAATATTTCAACTCAATAATAAAATAAACTCAATTGAATTAAAGATTTAGAATTAGATCAAAAATATTTTTGAAAATATCTAGTCAATGCTAACACATTTGTTAAATTAATAATGATGAATCTTATTAATGGTGTTAAATTGTAATAATATCAAAGACATTAATTTGATAATTAAACAGTTATTTGTATAACAAAAAAAATACTTTAAACAATTTAATATTTTCATAAAGAGAATATAATTCATAGAATTATTAAATCTGTTTCAATACCAACATTAGAAAATTTCATGATCGATCTAGAAAGTTTTCGTGTTATTTCGTTAGATTTTAAATTACCAGCTTTATTGGCAAATATTGAAGGATCAAGAAATGAAAATTGAGGAACTATTTTATAAACGAGACCTGAATAAATCTCGAAAAAGAAATACAATAGATAAACTATATATATTTATAATTTAGATTATAGGTGTATGGACTTTAAGAATTGTACTCTATTATTTATTCAATTAAGGAAAATCTCTTTTTTTCTAATAAAATGATGACATTTAGTCTTATTCTGAAAAAATAACTTAAAATGCTATGGTTTTTCTTTTTAAAATATTGCCTATCTTCCAGATGATCGATTAAGTTTTAATTAAAGTTTAGATTATCAATAAATTACTGGAAAAGTTGATTTACCATTTATTTTATAGTATTGGTATTTATAACAATATTCAACTAATAATTAATAATTGAATTCTGTATCTATTGGTTATTTGGTGATGACTAATACAATTCTTTGTAAAAGGTTGTTATTTACGCTGATTGTTGATTGTAAGTGATAAATTCTAGGGTTTTTATAAGAGAAAATGGAGTTGTTATCAAACCTTTTGTTTTGGAAAATAGACTAAAATAAATGATAGAAATACAGAGTTATACTTATAACATCTGTATTAGTTCCTAAAAAAAATGATTAAATAATCACATAATCTTTATATATATGATATAAATAAATTCTCTTATAAAAAAATAGTACATTATCAAAAACTTTAGGAGCTCTTTCAAAAATAGTTAAATAATAAAGATTAGTTACAACATTTAAACTAAGCGACTTGAACTATAGTTTAATTTGACCACTTGATTCATGTTCATAAAATTTACTTAATCTTAAAATGCCATCTACCCAGAATTTTCCTCAATATATATAAGCTGCTCCGGCTTACATTTTAATTCCTACAAATAAGGCTCTTCTACTAATTTATTAGACCAAACCTTAAAAAATCTTTAAATTTACTCAGATTCCTCAGTATTTATTATTGAACAAGAAGGTCTTTAAAATGCCTTTCATCTTAATTGCGAATCCACCATCAATATTAATTTTAAGGAAAATATATGCATTTATAATCTATTTCCTAAAATGGGAAAGATTTGGTTCCCTTATGTTTTTTAAATCGATAAAAGTAATGCGATTCGTTCAAAAGAGTGATGGCAAAGAAGCCGAAACATTTCTAATATTATGAAATGTCTTTCTAGATTGTTTTATTTTAATGCCACGAATATGTTTACTGAATAATGTATCTATTACATCAATTAGGATCTTTTTCTCTTATAATTGTCGATACTATTATTAATAATATATCAAATATTATAATTAAATTTAATTATTGATTTATTTAATTAGATGGAATATCAATTAGAAGAAGATGGTTCAACATCTATTCTGGTTAAATGGTTAGCCCTTTATATTCAGCAGTAGCTTTTTGTAAATTTTCAGGTATTACCAAATCAAGGTTTATATTTTCACAAGAAAAAATTTAAATGATCACATTTAGGCATACATTACGAATGAATTACTTTTAGTTATTAAATTAATTTTATGAATGAATTATATTTAGTTGATTCTCCTCCTTCTTAATTATCAAATAAATTGGGAGGATGTTACAATCAAGCATATTGACATGATTTTACAAATTGAATCTATTCTTAGGGGAACATTAATTTTTATAAAGCAATTTGCTATCTTGATTAGGTAACTAATTTTTGAAATTTATAGATCAATCTATAACTTTCAAAACTTTTTTTTCAATTCTAGGTTTATAATTTGATCTAATTTTTTTATTCGAAAATATAATACTTCTATCATTCTTATCTTGACTTATACTAAATCTTCTGTATAAACTACGATAAAAAATATTATATAAAAAAATTGTAAATGATGAAAATTCCATCTTTATTGAAATATTATAAATTATATTGATAATTGTTATTTTAATTATTATAATAGATGTATTTGACAAAGTCTTTTATTAAATTTTCAAAAATAAAGTTTTTATCTCACTTAAATTAATGATATTATTAATAAATTAGTATGTTATATGTGAACAACTAAAAATCTAAATAATATATTATTAATTATATTAGTAACAACTATTATTAGTTTTTATAATGAGATGTAATTTAATAAATTATATAATTTTAGTATTTAGCATTATAATTCCAAACCAGTGTTATTTATGGTTTATCAGAAAACATGGAGAATTTTAGAAAACTTAATAAATTATTCATTACTCAACATATGATTAGGTTTATAATAATTCTAATGATAATAATAAAATAATCAGAATAATAAATTTCCGATTGCGAGAGTTTTCTAACTTATTTTTTAATATAAAACTTTATTTATAAAATATTTAATAAAAATATATCTTATCCATATATATTAAATAATAATTACATTTTGAAATATATAAAAGAAATTACATCAATAGAACATTTTCTTATTTAAAGGCAATTCTTAATTTTGTTACTAGAATATCTGCTTATATTTTTTGTAAGGTTAATTAGTTTATACTAATGAATTAATTAATTATCAATGATAAAATCAGATCAGAGTTAGAGTTGTGACTCGCTCACATGACAATTTTACATTAAGATATGTCTATTAATCATATGGCAGATAATTAATCGCGATATGATAGTTTTTGAAAGATAATAATAAATAACAATATTTCCACGTTTTCATTACAGTAAGCATTCAATTAACTTTACCCTATTATTATTTAAATCCTATAGAATAATTGATAAATTAAATATTTTGAATTAATATCCATCTAATTATTATTTAACAAGATATTTTTTAATCTTTCTTAGAGAAAACAAATAATTATAATGAGAAATTTGTAAGAACATTAATAGAAAGTTTTGTTTTATAAGTAGTGAAATTTCAAGAGTTAAATTTATTTCTAAATAACAGTTTAAATAATAAATAGCGAATTTGTTAGTGTTTTTATGAAATATATACTTTCATACTTCCCAATAAATAAAAATAATATTAGTATAAAAATAATACCAATTTAGATTTAATTAGTGCAGATTTATATTATTATTTCTTGCTAATTAATGTTTATAATAAAGTTATCTGCGATTGTTTTATTACTTACACAATTAACAAAAATGTTAAATTATATCTCAATATATTGTCTAAGAAGATAGTATTTAAAGGAAAAATCAATAAAATAATAAAGAGAGGATTGTTGCATCTTAACTTATTAATAAATATCAAATGAAAATATTGGAATGACTGAGAAAAGCTTACACAGAGAATATTTAAGTATTGAAAAATATTTGGAAATAATATATCCAAAGAAAACAGATGCTTATGAATACAAATATATTTATAATTTAATTTAATTTAAAATATTCATAATTTCGTTATAATTTAATTTAAATTTAAATTTATTTTCAATTACAATATTTGTAATTAATTATAATTTCACTTAATATAAT